TGCTGGTGGCCTCCTTGGCCACTTGAGGACATGTCCTACATTCTCTGCCACATTGCCAAGTGGGACCAGCAGGTTGAAATGCCAATTCCTTTCCCCTCTCCAGCAGCCCCTGTCCTGCCCTGCCCCCCCTGCAGCCACAAACCTTGCTGGTGTACTTGTAGCACTGCTCTGCCTCCAGCTCCCGGCCACCCTGGGGAAATGACACGTGAGGAGAACATCCAAAGAGATGCTGGTAAAGCCCCATCTCAGGCTGGCTGGGCACTCACCTGCAGGCAGATGAGGGCAAGATAGCCCCACACTTCAGCGTTGGTGTTATTGAGGGCGTTGGCTTCAGAGAGAGCAGCCTCTGCCTCCTCCATCTCTTCCAGCTTGAGAGGGGGACAAGGAGAAGTGTGGACAAAAGGCAGACAGGGGGTTAGAAAGGGTTTCAGAAGTGAAGGGCCATCTGCTCCAGCAGCCAGAGGTATTGGGGCAACAACAGCAGCTGGCAGTTTCCCTGCCAGGGAGGCAGGGAAAGGATTTAGGGCAGAGACAAGGGGTTATCTCAGCCAGGGGTGAGGCCTTTGTGCTCCAGCCTGGAGAGCTGGGTGCTGGCACTGAGGATAACCTGCCTGAAACCCACGGCCTCCCAGCAGGGGGACATGGGCCAAGGGGGAAATGGAAGCTCAGACTCCTTCCCCGTTTCCATCCCTCAGCCAAAGTCCTTTGGAGGATCCTTGTGGACCTCCAGGAGATCACAGAATGACTCAGGTTGGAAAAGACCTCGAAGCTCATCAAGTCCAACCATCAACCCAACACTCCCATGGCCACTGAACCATGGCCCCAAGTGCCTCATCCACATGTTTTCTGAACCCCTCCAGGGCTGGGGACTCCAGCACCTCCCTGGGCAGCCTGGGCCCATCCCTCACCACTCTGCCAGGAGAGAAATTCTTCCTAAAATCCAACTGAAACCTCCCCTGGTGCAACTTCAGCCCATTGCCTCTCATCCTATCACTGGTTAATTGGGAGAAGAGACCAACCCCCACCTCACTCCAGCCTCCTGTCAGGGAGCTGTAGAGAGCCAGAAGTTCTCCCCTCAGCCTCCTCTTCTCCAGGCTCAACACCCCCAGGTCCCTCAGCCACTCCTCACAAGCCATGTTCCCCAGACCCCTCCCCAGCTTCGTTGCCCTTCTCTGGCCCCACTCCAGCCCCTCAGTACCGTGCTGCTGGTGGCTGGGTGTCCTTGGCAGCCCTTCAGAGGCTCTGGAATCCTCTGGCAGGGAGAGCACTGAGATTCCTCTCTGCTGCCATCCTGCTCCGTGCCTCGGTGGTGACACACAGGTCACATGCAAAGCCCAGGCCCAGATCCCAGCCTTGCCAGGACATCCTGGGGGAGGAGGAGCTGCCAGCCCCACAGCAGGAGGAGGCAGGGGAGGATTCCTGCTCCCAGAGCTGCTCAGCAGGGGGACTGTCCTCTGACAGCTCCCAGGGTGCCAGGCTGGGACTGTGACAGCGACAGCACCTGGTGGCCTTCAGGAGCATTGACTTCACAGCCAGCCAGGCTTTACTTCAGTAAAGGGGGTGGCACAAAAGCAACTCCCACATCCTGTGCCTCCAAGGGGGTTAAAGCACCAATGAGAAAGACCTTGAGGGGCTGGAGAGGGTCCAGAGAAGGGCAACGAAGCTGGGGAGGGGTCTGGGGAACATGGCTTGTGAGGAGTGGCTGAGGGACCTGGGGGTGTTGAGCCTGGAGAAGAGGAGGCTGAGGGGAGAACTTCTGGCTCTCTACAGCTCCCTGACAGGAGGCTGGAGTGAGGTGGGGGTTGGTCTCTTCTCCCAATTAACCAGTGATAGGATGAGAGGCAATGGGCTGAAGTTGCACCAGGGGAGGTTTTGATTGGATCTTAGGCAGAATTTCTCTCCTGGGAGAGTGGTGAGGGATTGGCCCAGGCTGCCCAGGGAGGTGCTGGAGTCACCATCCCTGGAGGGGTTCAGAACACGTGGCCGTGGCTCTTGGGGCTGTGGTTTAGTGCTCAGGGGAGTGTTGGGCTGAGGATCTCGAGGCCTTTTCCAAGGTTAAGGACTCCCTGACCTGGAGGTTGGTGCACTTACCCTGTAGCAGGAGATTCCCACCCCCAGCCAGGTGAGACAGGAGGCAGAGTTCTTGCAGGCCAGCAGGTAGATCTCCTTTGCCTGGCCGTACTGCCAGGAGAGAAACAGATTGATGACCAGGTTCCTCTCTGCATCCAGCACTTGGCCCCACACACAGCCCCCTCACCTGCTCCTCAGGGATTTCCCCAACCCCCCATCACCCCTGGGGCTCAGGCACCCACCCCCTGCCTCCATCCCCCCAGGGTGGGACTAACCCAGAAACGTGGAAATCACCCTCAGTTGGGAGGATGAGAAAAAGGGCCCAGCAGCACCCCAAAAATTGCAGCTGGGACTTGGAGCTGGCACAAGAAGACAGGGCTGGCCAGGGAGAGGACTCCAGGAGGAGGTGTTGTCTCCAGCCACAGCTCACAGGGTCTGAGGCCCAACATCTGGACTCTCCTGCTGTTTGGTTTGTGGTTCCACAGCTCCCCCTGGCTCCTCACTCCTCTTTCTCTTCCAGGTAGATGGAGCCCAGGCGCAGGTAGAGGAAGTGGATATCTGCAGGAGCCTCCCCAAAGCTGATGGCTCTCTCGTAGCACTCCTTGGCCTCCCCCAAATCCCCCTTCAGGTAGCACAGGTGCCCTTTCTGAGCCCAGACGTTTGGATTCTGCCCACACAAAAGCAGGAGTGAGATGTGGCTGGGGGACAGAGACCTGGGAGAGGGGCAGGGACTCCTGTAACCAGCAGAAAAGCAAGAGCTGGGTGGTGTTTGGTTATAAGCAGGGCAGGTTTGATGGAGCAGGTTAAAATCCAGTCAGCAGGCTGGCTGCCAAACCCCAGCAAGGGGTGTGGACCCCCCCCTCCCCTCCAGCCCCCATGTGCAGTGGGGTGACCCCTGCAAGGCTCCCTGAGGATGCAAACAGCATCCAGAGGTGCCAACTTCCCTCTGCCTTCTGTTCAACCCCACTCCCCAAAGCCACCTTCCCTCTCTGCTGGATTTCTCTGCTTGTTTCTCACCCAACAGAGCCCGACTCACCAAGAGAGAGGAAGAGGAGGAGGATCTGGGTGTCCCAAGGGAAGAGGAAGGCAGATGCTGCAGGGACTCACCACGTAGTCCATCCTAACGGCCTCGCAGAGACAGTCCTCACATTTGGAGAGATCTTCCTTCAGCAAGCAGGTCTGGGCCAACGCCAGGTAGTAGGCACAGGAGGGGCCTCCTGGCAGGCTCAGCAGCTCGTGGGCAAGGGCCTGGTGAACAAACTGTGGAGGAAGGGCACAGCTGTGAGGAGGAGAGCAGGAGAAGCACAGGCAGCCCCAGGAGGGCACAGCAGGGGCACTGCCTCACACCTCACAGAGTCCCAGCAGGGTGGGGTTG